CATGTTATTAAACAAATATGTATTCAAGATAATTTCAAGTAGTGATGTGATTTTAGGTAATGAGAATTCCAAAGTTTGCCTTTCCCCAGCCGTGCCTTTCATGCTTCCAGTGTGCACTAAGTTATGAATGCCTGCAGCGTAAAAAGCCTTCTGTGCACTTCAGATATAGCAGTGAATAGATAAAGGTTTCATTCTAATGGAACATTCTAATAGAGAGAAGCATAATATTATATACATTATTCCACAGAGACACAAATGTTACAAAATGCCCTGTGCTCTCTCCCTCATAGCTTGGCACTTGCCCTTCACTCAATCTTCTCTTTATTGTCTAGTTTTATTGAGAGCTCTCTAGCAGATGGACCAAGCGCCAAGCACAGAGCTTACAGTGAAGGACTGGTCTTGATTTCTATGCCTCCCCTGGAGTGAGGAAAAGAAGGAAGACAAATAACAACCAGACATAGTGGCAAGAGTTTTAAGAAGATAAGCAAGGTTCTTTGAGAGCACATGCTTAGATTGCTTGGGTGGTCTCCTGTATCTAGGCCAGCTCCCCACACAACTTTCAGTTTCCCCAGGTGCTCATCCTTCAGGATCAAGCCTTAGATGTTTCCTCCTTGAGAAACATAACACAGCCTCTGGTGCTTAACAAACATGTGTACAATTAAAAAATATATTGGCTATAACAAGACTCTTTTATAAGTGTAATTTGTAATTTGACTAAAAAAAAAATGGGTGTTTATTATAACAAGTGAGATAACCCACATTACAGAATATAGGGCATTTTTGGTACTCTTTATTAAAGCAAAACAGATGGCAAAGCTCCAGCGTGTATGTCTTAATTACTGTGTATATCTAAATAAGGACAGAGAAACATGGAAGAATGTATGCTGCCATCTTAACAGGAATCGGATGATGAGCTTCGGCCTTCCTCGTCTTCTTGCTCTTGGACTTGTGTGGAACGGGTAACTGAGAACACAGTTAAATGAGTTGGCTGTACGATTCGCAGTTCCTCGAGGGTGGAGGAAACACCATCGTGCTCAAACCACACTCTCCTTCTGTTTGTGTTTATTTTGGCTACATTTCCACATCTGGTTTTCCTAGATGGTTTTTGTAAGTGAATTAGAAACCAAGAAAGCATAAATTGTCAATTCCATTGTATATCCAGCTCCCTTGCTAGGTCATTAGGCCCTGATTTTCCCTTCTGCAGATTAGCTATGGTCAACTTTCTGCAAAGATAACACAAATAGACTGTTTAAAGGGCACTTGTTTTCATCAAGTACTAGAGAGTTGCCAAATTCAAACGAAAAGCTCTCTAACTTGCCTTTTTGTTGCGTTCGTTATGTTTATGCTTCAGCAACATGTGTACTTTATAAAGCATTGCTATGATCGATTTTAATGTTATATCTAAGGTTTGTAAATTCTTGTAACCTTTGTAATTCACAAAACCTGTGACCACTCACACTCTATTCTGGGTTTAGACATTATCCTTGAATGTAATAGGAAAAAAAAAGCTGAACTTGAATGTTTTATAATTTAGGCACTTTTTCATTAGTTTGCATACTGGCAAGGCTGTTTGGGGGCTCTCTGTGAGCCTTCTTGAGTCAGTAGGGTAATTCAGGAAGTAGGTCATCACTGAACTTGCAGCAACTATAACCCATGCGAATAATTTGTCTGGACCACCAGAACTGACCAAGTAAAAAGTTAAGTTGTAGCTGAGATGACTCTTGGAGAATGATGGCAAACATTTACAAAAGCTGTAGAGATTCTTTAAGGATTTTGACCTTCTTATTTTCCCCTAATGATGAAACAGTTTATCTCCTCACTCTTAGAATGCTGTGGTGGCATCGTTTTCTTGTGTTTAGTTCCCTCTCTTTTTCATTTTCTGATACTCTGTTTCAATCTCCCCCTCCCAAAAAAAACTTCAGTGAAGAAAAAGGAATGCAGGGAAAATACATGGAAGCACTGTGATTAATAGGTTCCTAAGTCCTTTGTTCATAGGCCCTTTCAATGTCTTCATTGTCAGTGGTGACTCCTCAAAAATAAGGTTGTCTAGTCTACAATAAGCTTCATCTTGAAGTGCTTTTTTTTTTTCTTTACTTTAAAGATTTAGTTAGATAAACTCTTGAAACCATTGCCTTGGACAGGAACCACTTACTAAATGACAGATCTAATAAATATTAGCATGATTCATATTATTCAGTTGATTCACATTTATTTTAATAAGGGTAGGTTGTCTTTTGAATTTTGCAGATGTGAAGAAATGAACAAATGGATAATTATCAACCAGCCTCCTGTGTGTGCTAAAGAAAATCCCTTGAGTAGTGCAGACTCTATACACCATTAAGAAGAAGTGCCCTTCTGGCATCACCACTGCAAAACCTCCCTGGCTTGTTATCCCTGTGGGCAGAGTTCCTTGACACCCTGACACACAAGGGCAAAAACATCCTTTATTCTTTCTCATCTCTCCCTGTATATCTGTGTTCCCGATAACTGAAATGGTTAAGGACCATGAACAAAGGCTTAAAATCCACAGACCTTGCTCCAAATGTCATTGCCCAGCTCAAACAATCCCTCTTTGATTTTATAAAATATTTCATCCAGGACACTGAGCCCTGAGACAAATTACAAAGGGCTGGAACTTGGCCATGGAAAAGAAGAGAATTGTTTGAACTGTTTATCTATGCATACAGCTTCTTCTGGAAGCTAGTAGGCTGCAAACATTACCCTGTGAAAAAGAAAAGAAAAAAGAAAAGAAAGAAAGAAAAGATAATTACTAGATTTCATAACATTTTAAAATATTCATTATGAACTAATAGCTTAGAAACTGTTCTTTTTGTCTACTCTGGATTATAGAATAAAATATATAGATTATATCCATCTAAAAGTATTTTTCTAAGTGCATTATCAGTACCAGATATTTACTGATTTTAACATCATACAATCTAGTTGTACTTTTAACCAGCTCCTTATACAATTTCTATATTGTTGACTTGAACACTGACTGACTCTATCTACTTGAAGTCAACAGGTTTGCTAATATAATATGTGAATAGTCGTCTGTTGGGCCTGATAAGGCCTGCTGCATCTACCTGAGCCTGGCTCGAGTTTGGAGACCTGTCTTTAGCTTCTGATTCAAGAGGTGCCACTTCCAGGCAAAAGTGATTCAGCATATCCACCTTAAAATTAACCCTGCCTGGTAGCTGTTACATGGAGTTTTGTCGCTGGCCTACCTCTCCTTGCACTACCTAATCTTGCCCTCTATGTCATCTTACCTCACTTCCTTAACACTGCCTCCTGACCCAAACCTATAAAAAGGACCACTTTATTCAATAAACAGAGTTCCTACTTCAACAGAAAAAAAAAAAAAAATCTGAGCAGTGAAGCTATAGAATAATGAAATTGAAAGAAGAACCAAATTATTTCTTAGCATGCTGACTCAGGACTTGGATCTATTTCCTTACACACAACCAGAAGGACACTGTGTCCTTCATTGCCATTTAATCTTATGTTTTCAGGTAACGACATAAAAAGCCAGCCTTGGGATAGACATCAGAAATGGTGGAAGAGAGGGAACAGGACTGGAGTTTACCAAAGAAGTCCTCTGAAAAGCTTTACCCAATAGGGGATAGAAGCAGATGCAGAGACTCACAGCCAAACTTGGAGCAGAGTACAGGGAGTCTTATGGAAGAAGGGGGGAAGGATGGAAGGACCTGGAGGGGACAGGAGCTCCACAATGAGACCAACAAAGCCAAAAAATCTAAGCCCAGGGGAACCTGCAGAAACTGATCTAGACCCATGCATGGAGATGACCTAGACACCCTGCTCAGATGTAGCCCATAGGCAGCTCAGTTTCCATGTTGGTCCTTGAGTAAAGGAACATGGGCTGTTTCCAACCAGGAACTCGGTTGTCTGTTCTTTGATCATTTCCTCCTGATGAAGTGGTCTTGCCAGGCCACAGAGGAAGAGGATCCAGGCAGTCCTGATGGATGAGACTTGACAATCTAGGGTCAGATGGCAGGGGAGGAGAGCTACAGTTTTCAGTAGACTAGGGGAAAGGGAAAGAGAGAAAGAGAGAGGAAGGGTGGGACGGGGAGAGATGTGGGAGGGGGCTACAATTGAGATATAAAATGAATCAATTGTAAAAAATTTTTTTAAATTTTAAAGAAAGAGCCAGTCAGCCCCGGGTCTGCACTGTGTAGATTACCTTCTTTACAGCCACATCAGTTAGGTAGAAATCTCCATGTATTTTTTTTTTTCTAACTATTTTTACAATTCTGATTTGATCAGTTATACATCTTATCCATACAGCACGCACAGATGGAAACAGTAATACATCATCAATTTACCCCTTCTAACAATAATGCTGAGAGTGAAATAACCTCTAAATCCAAGTGAAACAAATTGCATTAAAATTGTTTGTGAGGTAGTGGGTAAGAGGTCACTTGGGGTAATTGTGCCCATGTTCCTAGATGACTGATGACGTTTCATAAGAATTGGTTTTGTAAGACTAAAGAGATGGCTCAGAAGTTAAGAAGAGAGGACTTGCATTTATTCCCAGCACCTGTATCCATAGCTCACAACTGCCTATAACTCCAGTTGAGAGGTTCTGATACATTTGATCACTATCTGCATTTAGGTGCACAAATAAAAAACAAGTTGCCATGACAGAGAAGTAATATTAAATAATTGGTACTCTAAATTTCCATATTTAAGAGACTGTCATAAAACATTTCATTCCAAGTATAGTGGGGCACACCTATAATAATCACAGAACTCAAGTTCAGCTCTGGCTTTGTAGGGAGTTGCCAGCCAGCCTGGGCTACACAGCTCAGCAGCAAACAAGCAAAGTTTTTAAACTACAAGAATAATAAACACTAGTTGATTATGAAAGCCGTACGGACACATATAGCCAGTAAATATTCCTGTCATTTATACATAATGTATTTCATGTGTACCCTAAGAAGTGCTTTTGTGTTAAAGTCTTGATTTATTTGCTATTTCAGATGTACATTACCAACACTATCAAAGCCAAAGGAACCAGACTTGCTAAGCCTGTTCTATGCTTGGGATTAATGTGTTTGGCCTTTCTTACTGGACTCAACAGAGTAGCAGAATATCGAAATCATTGGTCAGATGTGATAGCAGGCTTTCTAGTTGGAATATCTATAGCAGTATTTCTGGTAAGTACAATTTAAAAAATATGTTTGTTTTTAATAAACTTTCAATAAACCTTCTCTAAGAAAATGCAAGGATGAATTACTATTTGTGATACTTTGTGAAATAATATGTTAGTTATTCTTCCTAAGATCAGGCTTGGGGAAGAATAATAAATGAACTCTACACTTAAAACACTTTTTATGTAAAATGGAGATGAGCTGCAAACAGTCTTCCTCAAAGAGTTTTTCACATTTATTTATGTGTGCATATGTCTCTCTCTATGTGTGTGTTCTATGGTGTGCACATGAAAGTCCAAAAAGACAACTTGTAAGAGTTGGTTCTCCTACCATGTGAGCACTGAAGGTTGTACTCGAGAGATTAAGTACCTTTACACTAAGCCATCTCACGTGTCCTTACTCAGTTAGTATTGTATATTGGGTTGTTTGTATATTTACAAAATTCCTCAGGATATTTTGCCTCTAGTGAATTAAAACATCCTTGTGGATCAAGTGCCTTTATAATCTATGCACTCCATGAGACCTGTACTACAAAGGCTCCCACAGCACAGGATTATAAAATGCATCACTTTACCTTAGGAACTACATAGTATGAGACATGACAGAATTCTATTGTCCCTAGTCATGTCTTCCCCACTGTGAAGATCATGCAGAGACTTTTAATGGGGAGTGCTAACTATATGCCTGCTAAAAACAAACAAACAAACAACCCTTCTTGAAATGTATCTATGAATTTTTTTTTGTTAGAAAATTTCAGTCTGAGTTTCAAGTTTATCAGTCCTCTATTTGTGGGGCTTTAAGCCAAATTACCAACATGACCAAGCTTATAGTTTATAGATCAAAAGGCTTTTACAGGGACACATGATTTAAGAAATGCTTTACTTCCACTTTGCGTCAATTTGAGTTGTTCTCCCTCTATTTGTCCCTTCCTTCTTTATGCTCCTTTTTCTAGTTAATAAGCAGTAGGAAAAAAAAAGTGTGTGACTCTTTCATTTATATGTTTGAGTACAATTATGTGCCTGGAATTTGAAATAAAATGTTTCTTTTAGAATTTCCTGTAGCAAACTGATGGACATTACCTCATGTTTACTCTACATCCTGAGCTCCATTTATCTTTTCTTTCTTGTAATGTCATTCACTACGATCCTCAAGGTCACTGGGAGACTCTGGATCGAAAGCTTTTAAAAAAATCTATGATGGGTTGAGCAGTCAGTTAAAAATGTCCCTCCCTATCACAGATTGAGTCTGCATTTACAGTCAGAGAAAAGGCAGAGAGATACAAAGTAACCTAATCCACTACACTCAGCTTTTGCCTTTTATGGTAGTGTTCTGGCAGCTCATGGCTTCTGATTGGGTAAAGACTGAGCTTGCTGTGAATGGCTGAGATTCAGTTGCTTGGTTACAGGTGTACTCCTAGATAGGATACAGATTGTTTACTGTTGAGTCTTGCAGGCACTTTTGGCTAAACTTCATCATCCAACTATAGCAACAGACTTGGGCTAAAATTATCATTTAACACCTCTGCCTCTTTGAATTCTCTTGCTTCCCTAGGAAACTCAGGACCAGGAATGGATCAAAAAACTTTCCTTGCTTTCCCTCACCATAGTTGAAACTGGTTAACATTTAAAAGAAACAAAGCAAAACAAAACTTGGATGGAAATTATGATGTCACCACATTCAGCTCTCCAGATGTAGGCACCTCACTAGCTTCTGATGCTCTTCCCCTGGACATTGCAAGTTTCTTATACTACCAGGGAGCATCACAGAGCCTTAACAAGATCTTTTAAAACCAGAACCCCAGTAACTTCTCAGACACGTCCCGTCCCTGAGAACTGGATAAACGAAGAGCTATACTGTGGACATCCTCTGAGCTCAAGCCCCTCTATTGCGCATATTCAATCACAGAATGTATATTACGCACATTCTAAGATTTCCCTTTAAATACTCTGACATGTGAGGAAAAGGACTCCATGAAAAGGTCCCACCAAAACAGTGCTTTAACCATATAACTAAATATGAATTATGTGTTCATTAATGATAATTTATGAGTATGAGTGCCACTAGGTAGCAATTGGTGAGTCAAGGAAGAGCATGTTAGTATGGCCTCTCTCCAGTGGAAGTTAGTGTTTGGGGGGAGGGAGTAGCCTGTTTCCTTAAACTCCCTTTCCCTGTCTTGAATTATAAAATATAATGCTGCCAAGTCTCTTCTCCAATACAAATACTGTGCTCAGTAATGTGAATAACTCTCTGGAATAAAAGAGAGCTCATATAGTTAAATCTGTTACAATTCAAAAGGAGAACAGACATGGAGATTTATAGGGGAGTAAATACAATTTACCAATAAATACTGAAGATACTAACTTTATTGGGATGGCACACCAGTCAGGAAGAAGTGATGTATCAGCTTGGTAAGTTTAAAAAATGGATTGGTCTGGACTCTGTGTAAGGAAGGGGAACAAAGCCTGGGACAGAGAGTAAATCAAAAGGCTGCATAAGGCCAGCAAGCACGGAGTCCTTCCTACTCTGCAGGCCCATGACATAGCTCCTACATAGCTTATGTAGGGGAACGTACAGCATCCTGGAATGGTACCAGTCCCCCATCATGAATGACAGCAGGAGTGGAAAGGTTTGTGGGTGAGGAGAATAATGTGAACACATGTTTAAAATGCAGGTGAATTAGCAACCACTGCCTTCAAATGACAAGGGTAGAAATTGAACAAGCTTGTTTGAGTCCCAGCTTCTTCTTCTTCTTCCTTGAGTTCTTTACGGAGCTCTTGTGTGCTCCTGGATAGCTCTTTAAATGAGGGTGATCACAACCTCCCTGAGGGCTCATTCTTGAATTTGCAGAGGGTTTAACCAAAATAGTACATGCTTAGTGAGTGGCCACAGGAAGACTGAAATGCAACTCCGTAAGTTTCCACTCATCACCTTCAACCCTATGAGATTTGTGCTTTAAAAAAATACACCCTAGAAGTAAACTGCAGTTGAAGATAGACAAGATGTGTTATGAAGAACAAGGGAAATAAGACAGTGTAAATTGGACCATAGAGACATGGAGAGAAGAGAGAGTCTTTGGCAGGGAATGGGAGGAAATAGAGCCTGCGGGAGCACAAGATGATGTGGATGAAGTATGGGAAACAACTTGTGATGACTCCCAGATTCCTCATTTGGGTGGCCCAGTAGAGCATTTATTTTGTGCAGAGACTCTAACTCTGGCTTGCAAATGTCCTGCAATTATACTGCAGTGTTTTCAGGATTCTAAAATGATTGCAAAATAAAATTAACACCAGTCTACACCAAACCGCTGCCTTAGTTGAAGGACACCTTATCCCATCGCCATTATCTATACCTAGCATTTGCCTCTGACTCATTCTCCTGCTTCATCCCACACAACCAGTGACTCATCTACTTCAAGTTCATTTTACTACCTAAATTATTTCCTCTATGTCTTGTATCAGTTCTTCTGACCAGAACTGCTTTCTTCCTGTCTCATGTGGCTACACTTCCTTACTGACCCTTAGCTTCAGACATGCTTCATACAACCTTGCTGGTTTTGGCTATACTGTAACAATTTGTTGCCAGTAACAAGACAAAATAAAGCCTTTCCTGATACACCAACCCCAGACACAATAATCTTTTTTTTTTTTTTTTTTTTACTTCCTAGGGAAAAGTAACCTACCCTTTTCACTATGTACATAAATCTAGCTCTTCCAATTACCGTCAGTTTCCTTCCCTTACCACAAACAAGCCCTGTGCTTCCTACACATCTGTTCTGTGGGAATTCCCTTTCTTTTGTGCGTTCCAGTTATGAGAAAAGGAAATATCTGGCCCCACACTTGTCACTCATATCTCACTATTCCTCAGACAGCAAGACCTTCCACCAGCCATACTCAGAATATCTCTACTCAGTCCCTTCTTTGTGTTTCTCTGTCACACATCACAACTCCTAGGTATCACATCTGATATTTTTGTTTCACTGTCCACCCTTGCAAATAAGTCTTTGTGGAGAAAACTTTCTGCTCATTTTGTTCACTGCTTATTTTTGCAAGTATCTGTAACAGGGTCTGGTATACATGCAGAATAAATGAATAACTGTTTAATTTGCTACCCTGAATTCTTTGAAAGACTCAGTGAAATTCCATGTGTAGTAAGCATAGATTTGTTGTGTTGGATATAATGCCCACCCCTTACACCTAAGTTCAAACCCTCTACATAGCTGAGACTTGGCTCAGACAAGCCCCATGTTAGCTAAGCAGTAACCCTGATCATCTAGTGCTCTGTTCTCCCCTTAAGTTCTACAGCATATTAGTCTGTACTGTTAGCATCCTACAAGAAATTATATTGTTTTCTAAATCTGCCACTTGTCCCTACACATTTTGCTCAAGGACAAAGTGTAGAATCATCATGGTTAGCAAGATGCAAAACAAATAGTTCTTGAGCACTAGTTTCTGATTGATTATTATTGTTATAAAAATAGATGGCTTAAAATGTCTTCCAAATATGATACATAGTATTGATAAGCAGAAGTTCTTAGCTTCAGTTATCCCAATAAAAGCTTGTCATGTTATCTTACATAGGAGTAAAAAATCATTGTAGCGTTTTATTGAGATACATTGTTCTCACTTTGCAGATTGAAAACTGAGACTTAGTTACATTGAATAGCTTGACGGTGATCTTTGCTCATAAAGTTAGTATATAAAAGATTCCAAAGTTAAGAGCCAATACTGTTTGACTCTCCAAGGATCATAATGCAATAATTATAAGAAGAAAAAAAGTAAATGTATAAATGAATGTATTATTAATTCTACATAAAGAAAAAGAATGCATGCCATGGTGGTAAATGTGTGTGATCTTTATAGGAGAATATAGACTTACATGCTTGGAAACCATTGATCTAAAACTACAGTGTTTGAAAGGAAATTAACTTTAAATTATAGACATATATCATAAAACTTGTAGCCTGAGAGTATGATCATTCATTAGTGTGCTCATTTGTAAATGATTTCACTCACTGCGTTACAGGAGACAACTTCAGATGGGGTTCCTGATTTGCACAATGTAGAGTCTTAGAAGAGACGTAAATCAAAGTATTTTTTAATTCAGTATGAAATTGCTAAGACTGGTTCTCTGACAGGCAAGCTTAGAGTTCTATGTGAGCACAGGGCACACAAACATACTGAAACACAGTGAGTTTTCCTAGCTGAGGGCTCAGGGGAGAATTCTGTGAGAGAGCCTGGAGATAACATGCTTGTTGCACATATGTGAGGAGTTCGGATCCTCAGAACCTGTAAAAGTACTGGGTGAGGAATATGGTCTGTCTGTAACTCCAGTTCACGGGAGGCTGAAAAAAGAACACTTGAGACAAGCTGGCTAGCGAGACTAGCAAGAGGATTTGGGGACCTCTGAGTCGAAGTAAGAGATCCCGCCTGACTATGTAAGGTTTGTTGGAAGATATTTGATGTTAACCTCAAGCCTAGGCATGTGTGTCTACACGCTTGCACATGCAAACACACACACACACACACACACACACACGCACACACACACGCACATACACTCACGTGCACCCCACACACATGTCTTCCCATGCACGCGCACACACACAAACACACACACACACACAGCTTTTTGCTTTTTCTTATTTGCTAGTGGAACGGCAATTCTAGACTTTTGAAATTAGCAGGCAAAACTTTTATTTATTTGAATAAGAAACTAAACAAGGTCTAGCTGTTTCCTTGTGGTCGAAACAAAAAGTGCTGAGAAGAATAATTCTCCTAATAAATAGCATTCTGTATGGATTAGGTGCTTAAGCAGTTCATAGACGAATTCTAGCTGCTTCTATGTCAATCTGAATTTTCCATTTAAACAAAGAGGTAACCAAAATCCTTTCAGAGAGTTTTCTATACTCAAGCACCCCACCACCACCCACACACACACACTAGATATTGTACCCTGAAGACTGGAAGACTGAATTTGATCTGCTGACTACTTCATTCAGGGAAGTTTATTGGAATGTTAGCATGCCTCTTCTCTTAGGATAAAATTGTCACTTTTCCTTCAAAAAAGAAGAGTTGAGCAGTTACCATTGACTATGGCCTTAAAATGCCATACATATGTATGTATTTGTATGTGTATATTTTGTATCTACATATATGTATGTAGTCCTTAAAACTAAAACTTCTAAACAAAGAATAAATAAATAGTAAAATATTTATGCTAATTTCAGAAGCCCACATTGGTGCTAACTGAACTTTAAGAGTTCTATACACCTAAGTACACAGTCACTTCACTTTAACCGATCTTCAAATATTTCAGCAATTCTTTTCAAATGCCCAATTTTCTAACAATTAATAATACTGATAAAAAAGAGAATTTCTAAATACGTGTGCATGTTGTGGTATGGATGTGAAATTTTGTTTCATTGCGATTGTTACCTAAAGTTATCAAATCTATCCTTTGAATGTGAGAACAGTGCTCATACATCAAACTGCAGCCTGCAGACCAAATTTGACCTGCTGCCTATTTCAGTAAGAGAACCTTGTCAGAGTGTTTGTATGCCTCTTCTCTTATGAACAGTTGAAATAGCCGCTTTTGTTCAAAAAAGGAAGAGTTTAGTTGTTACCAGTGACTATGACCTTACAACACCAAAACATATTTACTGAATTATTTAATAGTGTTCCTTTACAGACAAAATAGTATGCCTCTATATCTTGAGCAATCAATTTCTTTTTGTCCTTAGTGGGATCATGAAAGTAACAAGTTCATAAGACAGAAAAGAGTACTGAATAACTAGCACTTAGCACTCTTACTTTAAAGATCACGGTACAGGGAAAGCTGTGGTATTATACCATCAGGGTTTGGCCTATGTGTTTAACCTATAGTTTTGCTAGGGTATAGGAAGTTTTTCTTTTTTTCTTTTTTGAGTAAATCACAGATTGCAAGGAGATAATTTTGTGATATAAAGTAGCACTTTATATGTTATTATTTCCCACAGTTGGAAATTTTATTCAAGAATGGGTGAGTAACCAAGAGTTAGTTGGTATTTAGAATTATTCAGTAATGATGGAGCTGGGAGATGGCTGCTCTTGCTGCTGAGCTGTATTTTGTTCCCAGCACTCATATTGGCTCATGACCATTCTAGTCCCACGGCACCCGGCTTCCCCTTCTGACATCCCTGGGCACAGGCATGCATGTGATGTACACAGAACGCTCATGCACATAGATAAAATAAATCTTTAAAAACAGGAATAAGATACTCAGTAGTAAGTTTAAAAAAGGAGGTCCTTCCCGTGGTAAATTGTTAAAATATATAATTTAAATATATGATTATTAATTAAGCATTTGCTTACTTAAAAAATAAGTATTAGGTTGAAACTACAAGCAAGTGCTGTTTATTCTAGAATGTAACAGGACAAGAAAAGAACATGGTTTCCGGTGATTAATACAGACTCACTGTAGGAACAATTTTTCTGTGTTGCTTAAATGATTATTTCTTAAATATGATCCTCCTGCACCAGAAACTTCTGGAATAAATTTAAAAGTTCTGTCTCCTATACCCTATTCCTCACCTACTAGGACCTTAATTTTCATGCATGGTTCAGTTCACATTCTTTCACCTCTGGGATATAATTGGTTGAAATGAGGGGTCAATTCCCTTTATGCGGAAGGTCTTCTATTTCAGTAGTAACTCTGGTAGGTAAGCTATTGTTCAAATCTTACACATATATATGTGAATATATATGTGTGATATATATATATATAATATATATATATGAGACTCAATAGACAATAATCTAGTATAATTAAAGGGATATTACTAAATTGTAGAGTGTCAACTGTCAAGGATTAGTGTGAATTTAATAATATTGAAGCAGTGGGAGATAAAGAACATGAAAATTAAGTTGTGGCTTGGCCACATTAGGAAGAGGTTAGCTTGCTGTGAATTTTTATAAGGCTATGGTGTTAATTTTGGATTGATATGACCATTGTCTATAATACACTAGTGAACATTTTGGAATGACAGAATTTTCATGACTCATTCTGTTACACATCCATTGGTGAGTTTTCTTGAACCTGTCTGCAGTAGAACAATCTTTTCTAATTTATCCATGGTAAATCTGGGTGAAGAGCTTTATTCATGTAAATTTTAGGTAATTTTAAACCTTGGTTGCTTTAGGAATTTTATTAGACTCCTCAGAGGGTGATAGTCGTAGGATGCATCATTTACTCAGCCACATTTGTTTCCTGAAATTATAGGTTGTTTGCGTGGTGAATAACTTCAAAGGAAGACAACCAGAAAATGGGCACACACATAGGGACAGCGCTGCCCGGATGCCAATGATCAACATTCCTCGGGTAGAAAGCCCTTTGGAAAAGGTAACATCTGTGCAGGTGATTCACAACTTCATTTCTAAAATGTGCTCAAACTCTAGACCAAATTCAATCATTATTTCTGTTTGTGTGTTTAGAGGGTGTCCGTTATTTTATTTATTATTTATTTACTTATTTATGTATTTTTGCTTACTTAATCTCAGGATATACGGTGTCATTTAGCGAGAATTTACCCCCGGAAAGACCATTTTTCACAACGCATATTCCTAAAATACTCCTGGATACCATTCATGCTGGAAGCTTGGAAACTGTGCATGGAAATCATCCAGCACTTTACCAGAGTGCCTAAGGAATACTGTTCAGTGGCTTCACAGACAGACAACATAAAAAGATGCATTTGTTTGTAAATATATGAATGAGCCTTAAAGTGTGCTACTCCACTTCTCCCATGCCCTCTGTCAATGGGAAAGCGCTTTGTAGACTGTCACCACACAGTTAGTGAGCACCAGCCATGCCCTGAGTCTCAGTGCACAAAGATCAGGCAGCATGCAAACACCAGCTGTGCTTTCTCGATGAAAAGGGTACTGCAGGCCTGGGTGGGCTGCGCTGGTCCCCAGATCATGTTGTAAACAGCAGGTCCAGGCCTCAGTGGGTCTTACAGTCAGCAAGAGGGCAAGGACTTTACAAAAACTGCTCTTGAACGTCTGTGAACCAGATAGGGGGATGTGTCCTATCTGTTTCCATGGCTCTTTGCCATTGTAATTAGTTAAATGATTTCTTAAGGGCTAGCTCACAGCTTTTCTCCAGCCTTGTGTCCATGTATTTTGATATGTTTTAAAATTTAAATTAAAATATAATTATATCACTTCCCTCTTTTCTTTTCCTGTCTTCAGCCCTTCCCATGTATTCCTTCCTTGCTTTCTTTCAAATTCATGGCCTTTTTTAAAAATTGTTATTATACACACACACACACACACACACACACACACACACATCTAAATATATAAACATAATCTGTGAAGAATAATTACCATACAAAGCTAATTTGGGTTTCATCATGAAATCTTTGCACTTTTTCTTTTTTACCTTGTTCTCGTTTGTACTGCTTTCTCCTAACTGTCCGCCAGCTATTTACCTTCCTTCCCTCAGACAGTTTCTAATCTCATGCAGAAGGAAACGTCTTACAGGATAACCATAAGATACACTTGACTATAGAGAAGGCAAATGTTTTCTCTTCGAATGAACAGAAGTTGATGTGTAGGGAAGGGTGCATTGTTAGCACATTCCAAGCTCTTGAGGTCAGGAGGGTACTGTTAAGCATGTGTCACAGCATAACCCAGGTACCAACATGATTTGTTCCACTCAGGGAAAATGGTATTCTTGGTGAGGGATCCCATGTGTTCACATGTGATTGGATGAATCCTGTGAGTAGAGTCTTCCTCCTATCCACTCCTCACTCTCCTGCTTCAACACTTTCTAGGGTGCCCATTACACCCCTCTCAATTTCATGTCCTCCTTTTAAAACTCCATTTGTGCTTCCCATATGTGCATGGGTGTGGAATCACTGACCGAGGCATGCCTAACTTAGTACTGACCACCCCATCAAAAAAAGTGATTCTACTCCAGCAGCAATCAACTAACAATGGTTCTTCAGCTACGGATGGAACCTAAGGAGTTCTTCCCTATCCCATGCTACAAATTTTAGCTGGTTTGATCATGTGCAGGTCACCACAGCTACCTCGAGTCTTGCATACAACAGACATATCATGTCTACATTACAGCATTTTCTTGCTCTTCTTTTCATCTTCTGGCTTTTACCTTCTTTCCACTCCATCTTCCATGAAGTTCTATGCAACTTACATAGGACAGAGTTGATAACGATGTCCCACCGATGGCTGAGCACTTAGAGATGTGCATTCTTCAGTTTTGAATAGCAATGAGTCTCTGAATTGACCTTTCCCTCTTGCAATGTGAAGCATCTGTGATGGATGTTGGGAGCAACTCAAGTCTACTGATATAGTCATAGATTTTTAGGAGCCACTCTGACAACATAACCACTTAGAAAACAGTATCAGTAGGTAGTCTCCTAGATCTAGTGACTTCCCTAGCCACAAGTTTTGACCATGCTGACAATACCAGGCACGGATTCCCTTCTGTGGATCAGACCTCAAATCCACATATACAGTAAAATATTTTCAACTATAAGAAAATTTGAACACGGGGAACTTCCCAGAGACTCATACTCCAACCAAGGACTATTCATGGAGATAACCTAGAACCCTGACAATGCAGCCACTTCTGATGAGAACTGATAGACTAAGATCAGAAAGAAGGAGAGGAGGACCTCCCCTATCAGTGGACTTGGGGAGGGGCATGCATGCAGAAAGGGGAGGAAAGGTGGGATCCGGAGGGGAGGAGGGAGGGGCTTATGGGGGGATACAAAATGAATAAAGTGTCATTAATAAAAGTTAAACAAAAAATTAAAAACACTAAAGTAATTGGCTTTGCAGGAAAATGCATAGAAATTAAAAAAAACAAACCTGTACTTGGTGAGGTGGCCCAAGTCCTTAAAGATGAAAACCGTATGCTTGCTCTCACATGTGGATTCTAGTTTCAAATCTTTTTAACCTGAAATATATGTGGAATACTAGAAACAAACAATTAGCAGAAAAATAACGATTTTAGGGAGCAGAAATATAGCATATAGGTGAAATGAAAGTAAAGAGGGTCAAGGATAGGGATAGAAGGGTTCTAGAAAGTAGATGAATGATGAGGATGGAAAAATGAAGAACCATGGGAAGGCTAAACCAAAGTGAAATGTACATGAAAAAGTTATTGGGAACACATGATCCCACAGTACAAGTACAACACGAGATTTAAAAGACTTGGTGGTACTGTGAGCAAAAGATTTACATGGGAATGGACAAAAAAGTAAATGAATAAAGGAAAGGAACAGTTAAGCAAACTTAAGGATTATAGAAAAACCTGTGAAACCTTAGTAGTTTGTAAGCCAATTAAAATACTATCTTTTTTTTTTTTTTTTTTAAGTAAGGGGCATTTGAAAAGAGGTACTTTACATCTGTGTATATGCTAGAAGACACGCTATTAAGTGAAAATCTCATGCCTGTCATGGTTTGCTTTCTCATTGTTCAGGAAACACCAGAGACATCTGAAATAATACAGTTTATTGCCATTGACTGGCTGTCCTTTAAAACTGGAGGCCAAGACCCTATTGCTGAAGATGCCATTCATTTTGGCTGCTGGACATAGGAAAATCAACGTTGAGCTGATCAGGAAACTCGGTCCTGGTTGTCTAGTTTTCATAGCACTATAAGGTGCTATGCAGGCTTCTGGGGGGAAAGACATAAGTGGTATTATTTGACGCTAGACCCTGTGAGCTGTAATGCAAACTTCCCAGGTGAGAGGGGCCCACCAGTGCATTTGCGGCATCTCTAGTGCCATAGTGCTGACCAGTCTCTCTCGATTGGCTTTGAGGTTTGCTGTGCTTTCTTATCGGCGGTGTGTTTTTGTTCTTTGAGTGAGTGTGTGGTAACGCTAATGTTCTAAAACTCACTATGTAACTCAGGCTGGCCTTGAACTCATAGAAATCCTCTTATTTCAGACTTCTACACTCTGGGGGACTATTAAGAGCCAACCTGCCTAGGCTGATGGATACGATTTCAGTGGGGCGGGAAGTTGGCCCAGTGTGATGTGTGGATTCACAGAGGTTTTTTGAAGGAATAAGAAATGGTTAGAGAAAAAGAAAACTGAAGAAGTAAGACTATCCCATAAGTGTCTAAAAGACTTTTATACAACAGGAATGACATTTGTTCTGTAGAAATGCTGAGGTCAGACATGGGGCAAAATAAAAGAATGTAGATATGAGAATAGAAAAGCTAGAAATAAAGTAAAACATTTGAATCTGAGATGTCCGCTTTAAGAGAGATTATTTCATTTCACTATAGGAATTCCCAAATTGATAAATAATCCATTGTGTGAGATACTCTGGAGGGAACTTAAGTAAGCATGGGAATACTAACTAATAATAATGACACACAGTACTAACAGTGGCTTCTACATTATTGTCATCAATATGTGCTGATGAATTCTCTGTATTCCAGAAAGGCAATCCTATTCTCTACACGTATATTTTTATTTCCCCAACAACATGAAAAGCAAAGATTTGTAGTAGCAAACGTTGCTAATAGTCTGTCAATGCCTCCTCTTTCCTTATTCTTTGTAGTGAAGAAATCCCCCCAATTTAATCATCAGCCCCACTGCCCAGATAGCTTTCTTGCCATTAGGTGTGATCACATGAGAAACTTTAGACCATAAACATGGGGCATCTATTGTCTATGTAGTATCATACTGTGCTCTTATATTCTTTACAGTCTTTTCTGTATTCAAAATTCCTACTGCTTATGTTATACTACTTAATTTTATTTACAATAAGTTTTACAGTATTAGGTTGTATGAGCTAGAATTTTCAATTAGAATCTACAAATTGACAGAGTGGAGTGTTTGTAAATTTCCATTAATCTTGCTTTCCCTATCAAGTCCAAGTGCTGTATGGCTTCTTAGTTTGGGGAATAAGGCTGAGATGAAGCAGATTCCATGCTTCCTTGCTTGCTGGGATATACAAAGACTGCATTCTTTCTGTTCTTTTTTATTTCTGTTCCCAATCAAAATGCTTTCTCTACTGGGCATGGTCTGTGTCCCTGTCCACAGCATGGAGGGATCATAGCAGAAATGATAGGAATATACTAGGAGCAAATTCCATTCTTCCATTTAACTCTTCACTGTCAAGAAGCCATGTACCTGTGCTCAACAAACAGAAATAGAGAGCAGTCACATGAAGGAGACTTCACGAGCTTTCTACTCTTTTTTTTTTTCCCAATAAAAACTGTATGGAATAAATACATTGTTTTTCGTTATGGTTCAAATTGCAAGAAATGAAGGAGGGGGCATGCAACGTTTCCCTAGTACTTGGATTTTAATAGCTGGTAGTTAGAGAATGTTGTTCGTTCCTTCACGGTGGTCCTCTCATGGGAGAAGAGGAA